GGGTAGAGGCCGAAAAAAGGAGTGTGGATGGGAAAGACAAGATGATAGATCGGGATGCACTGGATGGAGAAGGTCGTCTAGAATCCTTTCGGCAAATTTAAGACAAAAGTTGATGTGACCATCAATGAGTTCTGTTATTAGTGAATCCATTGAGATTAATGATGCATAACTGATTATCGTGAAAACACGACGAAATATTGTTTTAAAAGGCAAGAGAGCATCAGAGTAGAATGGAGAAAACGCACCGGTGAACGGAAGAGGACTAGACTGACTGTGGGGTCCGGAATTGCCTGAGTTTGTGCAACTGAAAAGAGAGGCATCACAGTTTCCTATACACCTGTAAAAGTGGGTGGACCTCAACCTCTAACCAAACCCAAATCGTGCAAGTCATTTATCCACTACCTTGTTCAAATGACTCATCCTAACTCCCATGTTTCTTCTGCTAGGACAGAGCGTACACAACCCGTCAGATCACGCACGCATCCGAGTCAGGCTACACGCACGCTCGGAACACTGGACATGTTGGGTCCGATCGGATCGAATGGGTCGATCAATCGATATGTAAAGGCGGCAATTTGAATGGGATGTCTCGGGCAGTTTCTCGAATACGTGACTGTTGAGTATCAAAATCCAACTGAAGAAATACACGCTGACTTTCTCCAGCTGTGTTCTCTCTCCCCATTGTTGTTGGGGATTAGGCATGAGTCGCTCGTGTCATTCGTAAGTCTAGACCGAACACGGCATCCTTCTTTGACAGGATCTTATAAATGAAATCGAGCGCAATGGATGCTCAAAATAAACTCTGACCATATACCTTCTTTTTCTGCTGAGATTGCCTTATTATTTGAATTACATTTCAAAAACATGCCACACGTTATACTGCAGATGTCATGCCATAGAAACATTGCTTATCCTCCCATCAGGATCCCGCAAATTGATCAATTTACAGTTTAACTACTACTAAATTGTAAGTAGTCATGGGAATTCAATTTCGGAAGCATTACTAAAAAAGGCGACTGAATAACTCACTTATTGAGAAGTAACTTTGCTCTGGCCAGAGTGTAGTACGTAAGTAAGATGATCAGCATTATGGTACGAGGATGCACCCGATCAGAAACTTTGTCCACATCAATCTCTGCGGGTTCCGAAGCATGGGACAGCAAGTACCTGCGCGCGTTTTCCGCGTGCTCTTCAGATTGTGCTGCATAAGCTGAAAGAACGAGGAAACTGGTCATACGTGACTACATTCCATGGGTACTTCAAATGATAAATATTTCTCCTTAATTTTCTTTCTGATATAACGGTATTCATTTTTTGTCTATACGGAAATTTCGTCGCACAAGCAAGATGAGGTGATTTCAAGACACACAACAGATAGGTATACACTGTAATTGTGAGCGCCCATGGTTTCTAGTTAGACCATAAACATTTTTAACATTATGGGAGATTATTCTGGAACCAACTTCTACTTGCAGGCATGAATGCAGCACCCAAGTTTCTTCAGATCCTACAATGTTTACCGACTAACGGAATTCGTTCGGATTGTTACAGTCGAGTTTCAAAGTGATAGGGATCCAGATTTTGCTGCCCTGGATAAATGATGCTTTCCTGCGCAAATGATACAAGGTAGTTCGACAATTGGTTATAAAATTTGATTTCTTTGTTTTTAGCTGACACCAAGCATAATTAGCTAGCTTGAAAATATTATTTGCTGATTCACCCAGCGAGGAATGAAACTGAGTTCAACGAACTCTAATGAACTTGATTCTTTAGGAGTGGAAAACATGTTCGTTTTACAAAATCGAATATTCCCAATCTTCCACTAATGAAGAAAATTCGGGTAATTTATCCAACTCTGCATGTAAAACGGTACGAAACCTGTCTACCTCAACTTTTCGTTCAGGTGATTCACAGTAAGTGAAGTAAGGATTCGAAGAACAATTCAACGGTGGATCAGGTAAATTCCTTTATGCGACTAAATCCCCAAGTCTCTTCATTTATAAATCAGTCTAAATCAAGAAAAAAAGAAGGGAATACTCATAGATGTAACCCAGTTGTGCGGAAACCAATTCACATGCTTCTTTAAAAAAAACAAAAAGAGTTCAATCATATTGCATCAAATATTGCCACCTCAGCCAACTGAAGAAAGGAATATCAATGAATGTAAGACAAGGGTAATCAAACCTTTAGCAGAATCTACTCAAACAGTCATTTTGTACGTAGCTTTTCATTTTTCCTACGCGTTCAAAGAAGTTTCATAAAAGAAGGTCATCCTGCGAATCTTGTCTGCAGTCGAAACATACCAGTTCAGTTCTTACAACCATTAAACATGCACTTTCGTGCGCCGGTCTTGGTTGCTGTCTTTTGGTTCCCCCTCGGATAAAACAGCGGAATGTTTAGAATTCTAACAGCAGATTCAAGCGGAAGATTTACATAGACTGAAGTTACAAGAATAATGAGTAGATGCATGAGCGCCACTGTTTGGGACATCGAGCTACTCTGTGACTCTAACCAACGGTGACCATGATCTCCCGGTCCCCAGCCAGGGAGCCTAACGGGACCTACGTAAGCCAGTCTCCTGGTCAGGGTTTTCATACCCTCCTGCCAGGTTTTAGTTTGACCGTTCTTGATCTCTTTCCAACCGCTACCTGCCTCGACAAACATTGCTCGCCGTGGTAACCTATCCGGTGACATGCGTAGCACTTGTCCTAACTAGCGTTATCTATGAGGATCAACCATTTGCTCTAGTGGACGACCTCGATTACCGCCTAACATTCAGCATTGTTCGTCCGGTTTCTCCATCGGGCTCGTTCAATGGTACGTAGACAGCGGTGTTTGAACACCGATAACCTATTTCTATACTGTTCTCCTAATGGCCACAAAGTGGACGGCTCCGGTTAGCGTTCCCGGAAAAACCCCTTCGCTGGTGTGAGTAACCACGAAGTATGCAGTGCCCAAAAGTCTTAGGTACCAGTTGGAAAAACATCTTTCTGAACTGTCGGACAAAAACAAACGGTAAGGGAGTGGTCTCTACCCGGGCGACACAAACCCTAACCACCAACCAGTACTAAAGCAGGCATCACAGAATTAAGGGTCCATTCTCGATCGGTCATGGAAAACTTTAGCACAGCGCTAAAATGGATATATCTTCGTGTGAAAACCCGACACGGTATCGCGTGATTAGAAATCCTTTAGAAATGACTCACGAGTAAAAGGTTTGCTGTAGTTTGGAAGAAAACCTTTTTGGATAGGAAGAATGATGTAACCCTGTGTGCGTGCACCTCTACAACTTGAAGTAGTGTTATTTGATTCGTATTGACCGTACTTTGAATTCCAGGTTCATACACAATCTTCCTCTTCACAGTCAATAAGCACTAAACTGGAGTTTCACTATAAGGCCTCATCGGCAGTATATATCCAATACTCAGTCCGGGGCTCAAACTACGGATCCCTCGCAGACGTTCCACCATTTTGCCATAGAACCTACATTCGGGGCTAACCAATTAAATCAATTATTCAATTAAAATCTGTTCAGATTTTGTCTTCAGGAACAGTTTATTCGATCATTTTGGCCCGGCGGAAACTGAGAAAAACAGTTGATCACCACCATTCGAATGTTTCCCACCAAATTAAGTGTTCAAGCAGGTTTGGATAATCGTACGCACAAGTAAACCTAATAGCCCAGTGGGAAAGGTTACTTATCCAGTTGAGAACCCAGGGCTGTTGCTCACCCCATGATCGATAACACTACCTTGTTTCGCTTTCTAGGAGCGACTGGTTCATCGCACCGTATGCATTGATGACTTCGATGTGCATACTGCAGTGTTTAGTCTGCAAAGGGATATCTGTGTACAATCGTTTTGTCCTGCCAAAGTTACGCAACGACAAAAACATAGTGGCTAGTGCACACGAATAACGGATGAATTGCAAATGCTAAAGAAACCTAACAGAAAATTTTGTTTGAAACTCATGTATACATTGGCATCGCATATGTATTTGGGAGGCAAACAAAATAGAACCAAGAACGGCTGTTCTCTGGCCACATATTCCTTACAGTGAATTTTAAACTAAAACAAATACACAATCTACTGATTTTGGTGTCACGTTGCTTTGTTTTTAACCCTTCCTACTTAAAGCTAATTGTGTAAACTGAGGAATAATTACCAATTGCTTTTTGGGATTGTCTATTAGGGAAATACAGAAAAATCAAAAGATAAAAGCCACGGTTTCGTGCCGAGCCATACTTAACGCTGCTCAGCAACTTTTTCAAAGACAATCCTTTAAGTTATTGGCATTCTTTAAACGTAAATGACTGAATGACACATAAAACTGCTACAGTCAATAGCTTTGGATTGGGTTGTAACTTACCGGGACCTTTGATAAACTGATAACCATAAGAAAGACAAGCTGAGTACTGCGACTGGAAAAGCTTTTTTCGCCCATTTGCGATACGGTTTAGGGCGAGCAATTTGACCAAGTTCACAAATGCTTCATTATCCTACAGAGTTCAAGTAACGGACGGTTTACACTCACGAGAGATGCTTTTAGACATGCGATGACTTTTGTCTCCATGGTGACGATCCCGTCAACATCCATATTCGACTGAAATTGTGCGGAAAACGAAAATCACCATAGGCAAAATAAAAATAAAATATTATACACCATTACTAACCAATCTTCGGACTTAACAGTGTTTCCAGTCCATCATACACTCTAAAAGCCTTAGACCTGAGTTATGCTCGTGATACAGCTCCTCAGCAATGTACATAATCTGACTCTGTCCGGATTTGAATTCTACACCCCTAACATCGAATGTGGCTATTTGACCGCCTTAACCAGTCTCTTAGGACGGGGATACCCATAAGTACCAACTTAATTCTGTTTGGATATCGTCCATAGAGATTAGCAATCAGTTTTTGCTCTGGTGATTACAGAGGATGTAAACAACTTATTCTCTGCACAGTGTAGTACGACACAGCCTTTAAAAAAAACACTGAAAACAGCTTTCCTTTCTCCGCTATGACTGCTTAATAGGCATCCTTTGCGTTACGATCGTCTTTACCTCGATGCAAATATGCATTGCTGCGACGCGCGCTTACCTTCGGTCGTTTAACGTACCATGCAACGCTGCTGTTTTCTTCTCATATCCAGGTACCAGATTTTTCTAATCATATTCGTGTACCAGGAAATTTTCAGAGTTATATCGCTAGTGAACTCTATAGTTATAGTTATGTGATTTTGCGTTGAAAGTTGACTCAGAAATTTTCCTCGAAAGATCTCCCCATGAACGTTCCGCAATATTTTTTCCACTGATTTGGCACATAGCCCGAACACTGGCGTGAACTCTCGGGTTGGAAAACGGCTTAAAGAATCACAAACACACTTTGTCTGTCCGTTTCTGAATGTTCTAACCCCGATATTTCGGAGTCAGTTTCAGACGAGAATTGTTTCACCGAAAGTGTTGAGGTTCTATCCAAAACACTTTAAAGATCTAATCAATTATGAAATAAGTTATGCACTTAGCACAACATTCGATCTTTAGACGATGGGAAGACTGAGAATGCACAGTGATTGACTCTTGTTTGGTCATACGCCTAACTGATCACACCATATATGGCGTATGATTCTATTTTTCAGTTTGTCTATCACATGTGTTCGACCTTTCTGTCGGAATACAAAGGCATTAAGCATTACTCCCAATTATTGTGAATTACCATTTCGTTTGAGACTCCTACAAGGTTTGGAAATTTCCACCGAGAATAATACTTAGTCAGATTCGGAAAAACAAAACAAGACAATAGTGTGAATTTCAGTTTTCCTATTACCCAATCATAATAAACGATAATTTATTTTCGGTATAGTGGGGTTAACATTCCTACAGAGGTGAAAAATGAAAATGATACAAAATAACGCTCTATTTACTTTCCCTTTTCAAATAACATTACCGATTGTTAAATTTCCTACAAAAATGGATTCTGTGCTTTCTAGAGAGCCAAATGGTGAAAAATCCTACTGAACAATTATTCAGTTCTCATTATTTCTACTGGGCAATGACGGACAAAGAACCAGTAATAAGTTTGGTTTAATCTTAATAATACTTGCAAACGCAAAGAGGTTCCTGTATATTGGAATTTTCCTGAACGTTTTAAACTTATAGTTACGTAACTGCCTGCAGCTGTCAGTTCCAGTTAGCTTTCAAAACCGTTAACCTACGTAATGGTGTGACGAGTTTCGCTGCTTTCTATCGGTTGTTCATTTGATCGACCGATGAAGAACTGAACAGTACGGTTTAAAGCTAAGAAGGTGAACTAATTCTGCAAAGAGAGCAAGTTGATGCACGATCGAAATTGTTCATAACAATTAGTTAGTTAGGGAAAAGTGTAAAATCCTATTTGACTTAAATTACCCCTAATTAGATGCATAAGAGTACTTTGTCGCTTTTAAATAATAGCCGAGAGATTTTAGTCCCTGAATATTGATAGAGAGATTAACATATGATGCGAATTCAAAAGTGGCAAACAAGCTCGTTTTCAGTGCACCTTAATCATGCCATTGCAACACTATATATATATATCCGCCTTGTTAACAAGCATGGTGCCAACGCCACAACGATAATAACAATAACATGGGTCACTTGGGTTGAAATACGGACCAAATTGGGAAGAAGGTGGAAGAGTTAAAATAGAAAAAGTTGGTAACTGGGATGACAAAATTTTTTGTTTCACTTTAAACCTTTTGATATTTTTTATGTTGTTTCTTTTCTTTACGGGGCGCGGGATTTCTGATGGTAAATGACTTGTCGGTAATCCGGCTATGGGGGCCTGTGTGCTTCCACAAATAGCTAAGAGCACACAAAGAGGATTGGGCATACGGGTGCTGACTGCCTCTGCGGTAGTTAGGATACGGAAGCACGTGTCTAGACCGTTCGGTTTTAACTTGGAACGCCTCGGTCACTTTTACGATGTGATAAGTGTCGACAAGGTGCGACACAGTGACAATCATGATTGACTTAATTACTTCACTTCTCAACTACACAAGATGATGCTCGCGGATACGTTCGGACAAACGCCTGGTCGTGTGGCCAACATACTTTACGCCACAGGTGCAAGTGAAAGAATAAACATAGAAATAGAGAGCAGAATCGGGCGTTCTATCCTTCAACTGCAGATACACTAACGGGCAAGATGTGAGACGTGTTTGCATCTTGGATGCTTAGAACGTTTTATTGATCACATCTTATCGCTTTCTATGCTAAATCTCTGCTAAGGTGTCACCTTTAAATCGTAAAGAGATGTGCACCGACTTTATCTCAGCAAGGAACCTGTTCGGGAACGCCTTGTATCTTTGCATCACCAATTCCACCAGGCATTACGGGTATCCATTCTGGATGAAGATATTCCACATATTTCAGATTTCATCAACCAGCATGCCCTCTATAAATATTCTTTTCGCTCCGCTGACCAAAAAAATAAGTTCTTCTTTATACTGAGTGGTACAAAGCTATTGAAATGAATATTCTGCCTATTTTACGTCGCCTTCCTGTTGAATGTCCGTCTTGCCCATCATCACGAGTCGGGCGAATATCCAAATAAACTAGATCAGTATTTGCTGCGGTGTCAAGCGCTAATTTCAAATTGTGATGTGCAACATTGAAGTGATTTAATAGATGCTGACCATCCGTTGTGAAATCAACCGAACATAAAATGTTATCTACATAATGTGTGTACAGTGCACATTGTTCGATATGCGACTTAAGCGGACCGCTTTCTGTGTTATACATGTAAATATCGGCAAACAAGGACCCAAGTGGGCACCACATCGCTACACCGTCTTTCTGGCGATAGATTTCCTAGTTAAATTTCAATTGTGGATTTCCCAAGAAAATTCACCTACCCTGGCCTGGGCAACCTGGCAGTATTCAGCCCAAAAACCAATCACGGTAAAATTTAAGGTGGACAGGGATTGGACCTATTTTGAGGTAGGGGGCGAAGGTGAACCTCTGTGGTCAACACACTACACAATCGAACTCTGCATATATACTGTTTCAGGCATTCTGATCTGATAATAAATGACAACAAGAACGCCACTGGTAATGGTTCGNTAATGGTTCGCTGTCATAACCTTCAATGTCTCCAACCAACCGGTTGCGGCGTACTTCGGACCCCAACCTGGAAGGTACGAAACACTTACTTAACCTAATGTCTCTGTGAATTTTTTCATGCCTCGTCTCCACGTTTATTGTTATTCTCCACATGATTTACTCCAGCCTGGAGCGGCTAAAGCGAATAAAGTGCAATGTGGTAGATAACAACCGGGAATACACAATACTTGTCCCAGCCAGTGAAGCCTACTAATCTGAATTCGATGTGCCAGGAGGTTTATGCCTGATAAACTTCCAAACACACGATGGCTTACCTTCAGGTTACTAACCCTTTCGCTCCATTCCACGTGGGTTAAACTACTTAAACACCGATAATCGAAATGTCTAGTCGATAGATATCTTCTATTCGTAAATGCAAGGCCTCACAACCATAAAGCAGAACTGAGCGAACAGTAGCACAATAGACAAGGCCTTTTAACTTCAGTTAAACGTCGCGTCTACGCTAATGGTGTTTTAGTCCTGCCCATGCTGCCTGTGCCCTGGAAGTGCGGGTGGTTATCTCCTTTGATGCACAACTGTCACTAGTCACGCATCTACCTAAATAGAAAAAGCAATCTACCATAACCAATTCCTGACCATATAGATTCAAAGCTGGAGTAGGTGAAACCCAGTCTTGCGGCATCAATTTGCACTTTGAAGGTGAAAAGGAAGTACTAAATGTGGCAACAGCATTGGTCAGTCTATCAAGTGCACCTTGTGCGTCCCCCAAACATTCTAACAGACAGGCGATGACACCGGCGTACTCCAAATCGCACAGTTTTTCAACTGCTCATTCATTACCTGCGTTTTGGAGACCACTTCGTGCGTTCTCCAGTATTTTGTCTAAGACGAAATGGAACAGTTATGGCGAAAGAGGACACCATTGACGAACGCCGCTGCTGGTGGAGAACGACCTACTTAGTTCGTGACTTGACGTCTCGAGGTTCAGGCATATCCAATATTGCGCGGATGTTTTGTGGGTCTGGCAGGCGACCGGATGCGTCGAAGATAAAACCCAGACACTTGATGGAACTCAGCAAAAACGGGCACTTTTCGGATCGCAGCTTGAATCCGGTGGACCGAATACGCTTGAGAAGTGCTTCGAGGCGTTCTTTCAACTGCTCCGGTGATTGTCCGACGACGACAATATCGTCGAGGTAGGCAGCCGTGCCTGGGAGACCGGTTATCATGGTGTCCATGATCTTCTGGAATATAGCCGGTGCCGTCTTCACGCCGAATGGTAGTCTCGTGTACTGGTAGAGACCGCGATGCGTGTTGATTGTGAGCAGTTCTCTAGAGTCAGGGCTGACTTCGATCTGGAAGTACGCGTCGGCCAGGTCGATTTTGGCGAAGTATTTGCCGCCCGAAAGGATAGTGAATATGTCTTCAGGGGTAGGTAACGGATAGCAGTCCGATTGTAGTGCGGCGTTTAGCCCAGTTGAGAAATCTGCACAGA